GTTCTGTGCAGGCCGCTGTGATCTCCAGGTGAGTGCTGGTTCTGTGCAGGCCGCTGTGATCTCCAGGTGAGTGCTGGTTCTGTGCAGGCCGCTGTGATCTCCAGGTGAGTGCTGGTTCTGTGCAGGCTGGATCAGGCCTTTAGCTGCTCTTTGCACTGCAGTGTTTCTTTATTCCCGAACGTGCCCTTTGCTGTTAACCAGTCTTTCGCAGCAAGGCGTGTGGTTGGCCTGTACTAATGAACACATCCATGCGAGCATGCCTCTGGGTCCTTTGGCACTGCATTGTGTTTGAGACAAACTTATCTTAAAGAAAAATACATTTCATTTCTATTCCAGTACATCGTAGGGAACATATACATATACACAATCATATACTATGGGGAAGTGAGAAATTAGCCTAACTGCATGTCTTAGGACTGGGGGGAGGGTCAGAGTATCAGAGGGAATCTGCTCTGGAAGGGGGGGAGACATGCAAATATAATGCATTATAATGGTTGGTATAAGAAGTAAGGATGCTTTGTACTGCATTATAAAGGTATCTATAGTGTATTATAGATTCATAATCCATAATTATAGATTCAAGCATTCATAATGTATAATAAACATGGGTATAATGTGTAATGTCTTTTTATAAATATTTATAGCAATGTTTATAATGCTTTATGGATGCATTATAATGTGCTATAAATGTGTTCATAGATTCTTATAGGCACGGCATTCTTAGAAACTATTACCAAATTAAAAAAACAACAAAGTAGTGCTTAAAAAGGTATTTTAAAGGTATTTTGTGAAGACTGCTTTGTCCAGGAAAAAAAATGCATTGAGGTGAATGAATACAGGGAAACTCTCACTGTGGAGAGTCTAGAACAAAGGTGTGATGTGGAACTCTAAAAGGGAACCTTGGTGGCTTAATGGTTAGGGAAGCGCTCTTGTAATTAAAAGATTGCAGGTTTGAATCCCTGACTAGCAAGGCAGCACTGAGGTACCCTAAGCAAGGTACCGCCCCCAAGCACTGTACCCTGGGTGCTGAATTAGCTGCTCCCTGCTCTGTTGCAACATCACATGTGGGTTAAATGTAGAGGACACATTTCGTTGTCGTGTGCTGTGGTGTGTCAACAATGACCATTGATCACTAAGTTCACAATCATTCTGCCTATGCTGTGGAGTCTGATTGGTTATTAATACACAGAATAAACCAAGGCTGTGGTTATCGTCTTCTCTGAGTTTTTACAGTCAGTGGTCACAGTTCCACAAAACATGCTCAGCTGTGGTTAATCCATATCTCTCCTTTTTTGTGCCTCCCCACTTTGAACCCCAGCCTCCTCCTAGAGTCCTGAGGCCCCGCCCCAGGTCTAAGAGTACCTCGTCTCCAGACAGCGACGCCATGTGACAGTAGGAGCCACCGGACGCTGGCAAAAGAAAAAAAAAAAACACTCCCAGATCGCTTAGCTGCCTTAACTGAAGTCTGAAGAAAAAGGAGGATTGCAGAAGACCGCGGCCGCATCTGATCAGGAATGAGCCAAAGTAACGACGCGTGGTTTACACGATACTCAGTTATCTGGAGAGTGATCGTCTCAGCGGGCCTCCCATAACTCACCTCCTATTCACTTTGAGTGTGCCACCATTTTGCTTCTCTCTCTGTGTCCGGCCTCTCTCTTAAAACACATTACGTAACAGTACATTTTTGTGGCAAAGCCTTATGTCATACACTTTCATTTACTTTGGCTGCAAGCAATGTGGGAATGACCATAACACATACAAATAAGTGGCTTGTCACATCATTAACAGTGACGTTTCTGTGCTAAATGGTGAGGAATCCAATATAAGCTTATATCTTGCATTTTGAAAGTGTTACAAGAGCCGCTGTACCAGGGTTGTTGGCTGTGGAATTTAAGAACAGAAAATGGTTTGCAAAAAATTATACGGTATGGTATAATACGTTCGGTCTTTTTTCTGTTATTATCCAAAAATTACAGTATAACATTTAGGGGAAAACCGATCTAGCTAATACCAGAGAAGTCAGACTGAATATAATACAATATAATATGAAGTATGAGAATAAAGATGTTTAAAAATATATAAGGACTAATTAACTACAGTACAAGAAGATTTAAATGCTTGCGATGGGTTGGCACCACATCCTGGGTTGTTCCCTGCCTTGTTCCCATTGTGTCCAGGATAGGCTCTAAGCCCCATGACCCTGCATAGGACAAGCAGGTATAGAAAATGGGTGGATGCAGAATTAAAGGCAGGAAGTATATTTTATGGCTAAAGTGTGTGTGATAACTGTACTGATGCCTATGGACCTTCTGAACAGTTAAACTTCACAGTGATCCAATATGTTCCACCTCGACAAATCACATTTGAACTTGAAGGGTCTGTGTTTAAGACTTTAAGCCTATTGTGTGAGAAATTGCTTTATTTACAGCTAGTGAATGTAATGAAAATGTAGAAATTTAGTGATGTCGAAGACTAGCTCACTGGCAAAATATCTGGCACTTAGCACTCTATATCTGAAGATCTGTCTATGCATCATTGAACATAGCAGAAAATATTTCTTAGCTCAGAGACACGTATATGTGATTCTGATCCAAAGCCGCTATGCCCTGCTTTCAGAAAGATGCATGCTTGTGAACACTAAGATTAATAAGGCTATATCCTCCTTGGGCCTTAGCTGGGTTTGAGCAGCAGAGAGAGGAAAACATCCAAAGGGCAAACTGACGCCATGATATGAGTAATGTACATTCATAGTTTAACAGTGTGTAATGCTACATCATTTAAAAGAACTTGGCATAACCAAAGTGAAGTAAAATCAGGCACAGAATGCAGCAGCTTCTGTCCTGGCTGAACAGAAGCATCAGGACTTTCACTGGAATATGACAACACTGAGGTTATCTGAGGATTTAGCAGAGCGAGGAACCTGCTTTTAGCTGATTTGCTGCACGTACTGTCAGCCTAGTTGAGCATTAGAATCTTTCCGGTCGTCTATTCTAAACTCACCTTCTGTGGGAGGTGTCATTTTTCTCTTTTAAAAATGTTTTCAGACAGAGATAAATGGCTGTGACTTATTTTTACGAGTAGATTACACTGGAAGGATTAAAAGCCGTCAAAAATTGTCTGCACGGGAACACGCTAACGCTTTTCCTCATTTCAGACAGATTCATTTGGGCTTTCACATTCAACATGACACTTCAGCTGACCTACCTAAGTGCTAAAACAGTATTGGATTGACTCAAAAATGTACATAAACACTGGTTTGTTAAATGCATGCGTGATTATTAACAAGAGCAAAATTACAGTTTTCTGCCATTGAGAAACAAAGTAAGACGAGTAGGAGTATTGTGAGCAGCACTGAAACCCGCAAGAGCAATGAAACCAGCACATGACTGTCCTGGAATTCATCAATAGATAATTTGCTGAAACTAATGCAGTTCCAGCACTATGGAGGTCAGCTTTAAACTTTTCGGAGACTTTTACTGGCAGATAGAATATTGGCATATGAGATGGACCGAGGACCAGAAGGTCCAATGTCGTGGTCTTTCTTTAACCGCCAAATTGAATTTAGTGCTAGTTTGTTAACTAAACGATCATTCATTTGTAGGTGTTCATCAACACTTCAAGTTTTCTGTACATTTCTGTATTTAGCACCCAGGGTGATTCTAGTTTTTGCCATAAACAGTGGTGTAGATCTATGGCAGCATAGCATATGTGTGTCTTATGGCATGGAGATTAACACTTTAATATGAAGGAGCCAGTAATATGCTGTGTTGCACTAAATGTAAATAATTTGTGGTAGGCTGAGCATGAGCACATCTTCACTGAGCACCAGAGACTTTGAGATAAGGCCACGTCTTGCCTGCAGTTTGGAATTGGCTCATACTGAACCAAACGACAATGCTCAAGTCAAATCCCAAGGATGTCCTATACAAGAAAGTGATACATTATGGAATCGATGGGTATGAATATTAAATCATACTGTGACACAACTAAAAACCTTTGCTATGGTAATTAATAAATAAAGGGGACTGAGAAGGTAGTGCTCAAATGTTAATAATCCAAACTAGCTGATTACATGATAAATAATAATTGAAATAAGGATGGATCACTTCCTTAAGACAGACAAACACATATTGAGAGACATAGAGTTTTTACCTGAGTGTACTTCAGATAAACATCTTTCTAGGTCAGTATGTGTTTATTTTAATCAAACTATTAAATTGCTGACTTGTAGCACTGTTACTGATTGTTCTTTTAAATGAGTTGAAGTATTACTTAATGAATAATGCTGTGTTGTAGGTGTGACTGTGTTTTGTGATACGGTCAACCGGGAAACACACACAAGGCTGATCAATAATTGTGAGGAGTGTAACGAAGTAAGTGAGTCACGTCTCCGTGGTGCACTCCGTCCAGCTGAGACACAGTGAAAGAAGGCTCACCGTTTTCCTGTGTATATATTACAATTATTTGTAAAGTTTGTGGTTCGTAGCATAAAAAGCATGCATTTTTTTTAGCAGTACCATCGTATGTGGACTATATTTGATGGAAAAAAGGACTCTGTATGTCTGACAGCTTTCTGTGAAAATCTGTCTTAAGGTTTGTTTTTGTGGATCTTCCCATGTTTCTCATTTCCCTCTGGCTCCAGGTTATCTTCAGTTTTGAAACATTTGTCATATTTTGTCTGGCTGGCCAGAAATTTTGTATTGAAACCCATTAATGTCCCCCTTCCCCCTCTGTTGTCAATCCCCCGTATCTTAGCACTGTAGCATAGGAAGGATAGAGACTGTGAGAGTTATGGAATGGATTTCACAAAGTGCTTAAACTGTGTTATGAATATTCCCATTTAAAACCTGTTTGTCAGCCACAACCATTAAAAGGAAAGATGAACTTGCGTGTGGGGTCCTGTCTTGTGCTGGTTTTGGGGCATGTTTTTGGCCTTCACATAAACCTCACATGATTAATGCTAACCATACACTAGAACATTGACACATCTAAAGACAAGGTGTCCATAATCACAAAGTGATTTGACAACGACTGTGGATCTTGCAGGGTCACTATTTGCAAGATTGCAACTAGATTCCTATTAAGAATATTTCCCACAATGCTTCTGGTGGAAATTTACAGGAAGAGAAAAAACATTTGAGCAATGAAACAGAAACAGAAGCAGCTTTTGGACACAGTTGCTGTCGAACGTGCAATGGTTTGCTGTGCAAAAACAATGAAAAGAGAAGACGTGGCAGAATGTGGACATGACCCTGGTTGCATGAATGCAGACAACAAGGCCTGACCGTCCTCCATGTCTCTCTACTCTACTTGAGATCCTGTAACGGCTTTGCTGCTTCCCGTTTGGTGCTGGAGAGAGCTCACCTATCGGTTCTTAACAATGTCCACATCACAGTTGGCATGAGCCAAGACTAAAGACCCATGATAATATTAAACACGATTTATATATATTGGAATGTCAAGAAAGAGAACGACTGACTTAACACGGCTATGCTGACCACCGTACATACTGTAACACATTTGAGATGATGTGAGTACATCAAAACTCTAGCAAAACTCTTATGATTTTATTACGACATTGGAAATTTGTCTGTGACAGTGATATCGCTTGAAATCTCGTTTGGTGTAAGGCCACCATAAAACAACACAAGTGAGCACTGACAGTTTCTCTCACTAATACAGAGATATATTGACACGGTACTTACTATGAATACTGTAAGTCTACGAATCCGCTACTATCACTGCAGCCCACAAAACACTTAATGACCCAAACAGCCTCATCTTGCTATTGTCATGTTTGGGTCCCCATATGTACTGTGAAAGACATTTTACAAAAAACACCTTGATGGTAAGAGAATGGAGTTACATACAAACCCCAGATATTCCATGACCATGATTAGTTCATTAGTAATATTATATTCACAATTTTATTCACTAATTATGACAACATGTTTATGCCTCTGCAAATCTGACCAGTATAAGTGGTTAGAAAATGGATGGATAATATATTTATTACAGCTTTTTAAGTAAATTTAAGTAATTTAAAGTTCAGCAACTGAACAATTAAATGACTAGCAACACTTCTGTCAGATATTTCAGATTAAATGACAGTGTTCAGTCCATAAATTCAAAATAAAAACTGAAAGTGATGCCTCAGCCTGTCCTTCCAGAGAGGAAACCAGTCAGAGATGCGGCGTCGAGGCCAAGGCTGAAAGTGAGGCTGCGTCGGGGCTGAGACAAGCAAAAGCATCCATGAGTCAGCAGCCCTCCAGTAACTGCACAAATTAAACCTGTAAGGAAGTCCTCACTGAAGGCAGTCTCAGATCTACAGTACAAGGAAGCACTTATAGTAATTAACTGATGAAAGCTTTTGTTTGTACATGAAAAAAGATCTTACCAGAGAATTTATCAAAGTTTCATCATTGCTCTGAACAAAATTGATAGCAACCATGTACACATATAAGCAGGGCTGAAAATTAAGCTCGCCCACTCGCCTGAGGCGAGTAATTTAGACGAAGACTGACAACCACTTAACTGTAGGCGTGGGGCGAGTATAAAATTGCATGTTGTATTACATGTTTTTTTTTTTTTTTTTTTTACTGAAATGGCTCCAATGGAAGAATGGTAGACTGGTGGCTAGCAGAGTACACTTTAGGGACTGGCAATTTCAATCTCAACTGTGCTCTGTGTGTGAAATTAGCACATTACCTCTTTAAACATGCAAGGTACACGTTCCACATATGTCACTGATTATTCAGCACAAACACACGCTCTGACACACAAATATAAAATTTAATTTATATATTTACATATGTACATACGTTTAACAACAGGGAAACTGGGCTATGTAAGATCTAGCACTGAACGAGAGACCATGTTGTCCAATTATAGTTCAGCTGCAGGCTACGGGCGACTTTTATTTTGCACCGTCAAACTGCAGGATGGACTTCCGGTGTCATCGCGCACTTACAGCGGAAGTTTGATGTGCTGGTCAGAGAAGAGCCTGAAATACTGTCAGAAATTTATCGTGGCTGCAACATCTAATGACATAACCAATTTATTATATATCAAACTTCACCAAGAACATCCCTTGGAGAATCTTCTGAAGTACCGTATTTTAGTGAGGTTGTTCAGGCTGCTCCATGACCTACTGTTGTCATTTCTGTGACCAGTGACGTTTTTTACGCAACGGACGTGTCATCGCACATGCGTGCTCGCATTTCCCGCTGTTACTGGGCTAAACCGGGGAGAGACGTATTCTGTGTCCTGGGGAAAAATTTGCCTGTAGAAATCAAGTATTTATAATGTTTTTCTGAACAGAGGCGCTCTGTCACGTGTAATAAGTCGTTGTAAGTGTACTAGCAATAATGCTGCGTGTCTGTAGGAAAGCGGCTGGTGCAGCAGCTCAGGTAAGGGCGAGCACGTATCTGTGGCTCAATGAGTTCTCCGGTCCTCTGTACTGTCATTCACTGACCCGGTTCAATGAGGCCTGTTGCGCTTTCGTTACAATAAAGATTGTTTAATAACCCTTTGGATTTATTTTTAGGGAGCGTTGTGTTGATGTGAGGATATGTGATATAATGTGATATAAAATGTATAGGAGCACAAATTAGCGAATAAAGTTTGCAGTGGTGGTTACACTACGCAAAAAACGTACAATAAGCGTGAATGTACGCAGGCGTACATATTAAGGGATGGCTGTTCTACGCAAAATACGTAGCTAGTTAGCGGCTGGCTTTGCTACGCCAAGCACGTGAAGTGAAGCAGTTTCTTTCTTTCTTTCTGGGATTTTGGTTCGGTTTAAGATTGGGTTTCCATGGGAGTACACAAATAAGCACGTCCGTGGCGGGTATTTTTCTAGACGTTCGCCAAAATCCCGGTTTCGTCTCCGTTATTTGAGGTAGTCCCACGTAGCTGAGCTGGGGGTCACCATGTCGTGTCGGTCACTTAGCTGCCTAGCATGCTACAAGGACTATTTACTTGCATGGTATATTGATATAGTAGCGTCCGTGGGTCATTAGGCAAAACTACACGTGTTTTTCTCGAATGTGGTTCTAAGCGTGTTTTAATGTGCGATTTGAGCAGGAATGGTAAGGTCCTGGACGTGACCTTGACATAGAAGGGAGGCTATAACGTAACGTGGGCAGTCCGATCATGTTTAAAGAACGAGAGCTTCGTGTCATGGTCGCATCTGGTCAAATGCCCACGGTTATTCCTCATAACATAATGACCTTGTGCGTGTATATAAACTTGCTGACTTATTGGATTCAATTTGCCAAAGTGACACCCTGAGAATCAAGGTCAGAAACTACAAACGTGGCTATCTTTATTTGACATGGTTTCTCACTTTTGTTCCAGCGTAACCCCCTTTTTTTATCTATGGCCACACATTTCTCCCCGTGACAGGGTTTTCATATTCAAGGCTTTCGTAATAGGCATGACTGGTTTATTATATACCTTTATCAACTCACTTTGCACAGGAAGACTTTGGTGTCTCTTTTTGCAATGTATGTATGTTTAGTTTAGTGGTAACACTTTACTTGACAGGGCATGAATTTAGTATTATGCTATTACTTATGTATTAATTAACCACAAACAAAGTCTTGGTTACATACTGATCTCAGTTCAATTCATCATTATTGAATAGTGATGAATGTTTTATGTCAAGCCGTTACTATATTTGTTACTATATCAGTTAATTCTATAAATCTTTGTGAACCACTGAAGGAACAAGTCATGAATAACATGAAATACTGATCTCATGATCATTGATGAATCTTGACATCTTTATCTCAAGCAGCAACTCATGATTTGTACTTCAGTAGTTACTGAGTTATTATATATTTGTGCCCCGTCAAGTAAAGTGTTACGTTTCGTTTGATTTCTTATTTTAGTTTTATTTGTCATGCATATGTTAACACAGGGCCAACATTACAATGAAATGCTTTGGGCGATAGAAGAAACAAGAAACATGTCTCTCAGCATTGGAGACCTGCAGAAGTTTATAGAAACATTAAAATCAATAAATGAATGAACAAACAAATGAACAAACAAACTTAAGACATAAAAGAAATTTAAAAAGTCATAAATAAGGGAATGTATATGTGTGTGGGGGGGTAGGTGGGTGTAGTGCAAGCACCAGTATTGCACGTTGGAGAAAGTGACATGTAAATAATGGTAGTGTTCAATATAGGCCTTTTGTTTATTTAAGCTTTTTCAGCTGTGTAACTCCCCCACCCTTTCAAGGGTGGTGGCAGGACAATGTTAAAGCATAACAACACATCCAGTATATAAAGTATAATATAAGTGTTGTCATTGTTTGCAAAACAAGAGGCTTTTAATCATTCTGACCACAATTTATCAGCTTACTCTGGTTCTGACACAGTTGTTAAATTAAATGGTTAATCTGTTAATGCAGTGTTCTTTCGTGAAGGGAGACTGTATGGACGGAGTATGTTGTTGGGCGCTTTCTTTATGGACGGAGTATGTTATTGGGCGCTTTCTTTATGGACGGAGTATGTTATTGGGCGCTTTCTTTATGGACGGAGTATGTTATTGGGCGCTTTCTTTAACAGGGGCTTTAAGGCTCTTCTGCAGCCATTCTGTAGTCCAGATGCATCTACCTGATGGCTGCATTCTGTTTTTAAAAATGTGCTTCCGTACTGGTAGCAGGGTGTATTGGCTTACTGTCTGTTTTGGCCTAGTGTACTTTTCTTTACTCTTATCAGACAATGTAACATG